AAAAAAAAAAAAAAAATCACACATCAGGATAAAGTTGGTTTCATCCCAGGGATGCAAGGATGGTTCAACATATGTAAATCAATAAATGTAATTCAGTGGTTTCACCACCTGATGCACAAGCGCAAGAACCCAAGTTCAATCCCTGGTACCAAAAAAAAAAAATGTAATTCATCACATAAACAGAAGGATAAAAATTACAAGACTGAAGGAAGGGACAAGAAAAAAGCAAAAATAGAAGGAAAAAATGGAAACAAAGGTTTTGTACATAGGGAGGGGAGGGGGCTTGATAGGAGGGGGAAAAAAGGGGCAGGATGTACCCCGTACAGGTGCAAATTCCCTACAATGAGTGTTATCATTATGTATGCCTAAAATGTACCAACAAATGTTTTGCTATATATAAAAAAATCAGATGAATATCTCAACAGATGCAGAATAATCCAACATCCATTCATGATACAAACTTTGACAAAAATTGGTATAGAAGGACCTTACCTTACAATGATAAAAGCCATTATTACAAACCCACTGCCAACATCATACTAAATAGGGAAGAACTGAAAGCTTTTCCTCCAAATTCAGAAACAAGACAGGGGTCCCTGTCCACTCTCACTACTCCTGCTCAGTATAGTACTAGAAACTTCAGCAAGAGCAATTTGGCAAAAGGAAATAAAAGAGATTCTAGTAAATACTGTAGGAATATATATTGTAGGAAGAAGTCAAAATATCCTTATTTGTAGATGACGTGATCCTTTACACAGAGGATCCAAAAAATTCTAACAGAAGACTTTTAGAACTAATGAATTTACCAACGTGACAAAATACAAATTAAATACATAAAAAGCAACAGTGTTCCTATACACCAAGAATGAACAACTGAGAAAGAAATCAAGAGTACACTCCTATTCACAATAACCTCGAAAAAATTAAATATCTTGGAATTAACCCAGCTAAGGGATTGAAAGACTTCCATAACTAAAACCATATTCCTCTGAGAAAGAAGAGATTGAAGAAGACATCAGAAAATGGAAAGACATCCCTTGTTTCTTGAATAAACAGAATATCACCAAATGGCCAGATTATCAAAAAAGATACTGTGGCTCTCCCGAGAGCTACGTGGCGGCGGAGCTTACGCCTCGAGCCGTAAAGGCCATCCCGGCGTCCGCGGCAGCATCCGGGCGCCCTCCTCAGGAGACTGGGGCCGCCTGGACTCGCATAGGGAAGGCATCTAGACTGATTCCTTAACTTGGCTGTTATGAACTGTACTGTGATAAACATGGGATTGCAGTGCTGAAACTACTGAAAGATGGCAGAAGAAGTGGTGGCAGTAGCCAAATTTGATTATGTGGCCCAACAAGAACAAGAGCTGGACATCAAGAAGAATGAGAGATTATGGCTTCTGGATGATTCTAAGTCCTGGTGGCAAGTTAGAAATTCTATGTATAAAACAGGTTTTGTGCCTTCTAACTATGTGGAAAGAAAAAACAGTGCTTGAAAAGCATCTATTGTAAAAAACCTAAAGGATACCTTAGGCATTGGAAAAGTGAAAAGAAAACCTAGTGTTCCAGATTCTGCATCTCCTGCTGATGACAGTTTTGTTGACCCAGAGGAACGTCTTTATGACCTCAACATGCCTGCCTATGTGAAATTTAACTACAAGGCTGAGAGAGAAGATGAATTATCATTGATAAAAGGAACAAAAGTGATTGTCATGGAGAAATGCAGCGATGGGTGGTGGCGGGGTAGCTACAATGGACAAATTGGATGGTTCCCTTCAAACTATGTAACTGAAGAAAGTGACAGTCCTTTGGGTGACAATGTGAGTTCACTGTCAGAGAAATTAGCAGCAGTTGTCAGTAACCTAAATAAATACTAGGCAAGTGTTGCATGTGGTACAGGCTCTTTACCCATTCAGTTCATCTAATGATGAAGAACTTAATTTTGAGAAAGGCGATGTAATGGATGTTATTGAAATGCCAGAAAATGACCCAGAGTGGTGGAAATGCAGGAAGATCAATGGGATGGTTGGTCCGGTGCCAAAAACTACACTACCATTATGCAGAATAATTCATTAACTTCAGGCAGGGGATTTAGCTCAGTGGTTTCGCGGACCCAAGTTCAATCCCCAGTACCAAAAAAAAAAAAAAAAAAAAGAAAATTCATTAACTTCAGGTTTTGAACCGCCACCTCCACAGTGTGATTATATTAGGCCTTCACTCACTGGAAAGTTCGCTGGCAATCCTTGGTATTATGGCAAAGTTACCAGACATCAAGGAGAAATGGCATTAAATGAAAGGGGACATGAAGGAGATTTTCTCATGCAGGATAGTGAATCTTCGCCAAATGATTTTTCAGTATCATTAAAAGCACAAGGGAAAAACAAACATTTTAAAGTCCAACTAAACGAGACCTTCTACTGCATTGGGCAGCGTAAATTCAGCACCATGAAAGAACTTGTAGAACATTACAAAAAGGCACCAATTTTTACAAGTGAACAAGGAGAAAAGTTATATTTTGTCAAACATTTATCATGATACTGCAAATCAGAAGTGACTGTTAATACAGCTTTATTCCTCAAGTAATTGAAGACTGAGAAAATGTTGGTCCAATCCTGCTTGATTGGAAATTGCTGTTTCTAACTCTGTATGAGAATTGATTATAATACATAAGTATTTTTGTTATCACTCAGCCCATACATATATATTATATATGCAATGTATCTGCATAGAACAATTTCCTATTCTTGGTCTTTTATTTCAAAGTTTTCTTCTTCGCTTCTAATATTAAGGTTTTGTATTTTGAGAAAAAAATCAAATAATGCAGATAAGAAGTCTGTATGGAAGAATTCCTTTATTGCCTTTCTTGTATTTCCTCCTAAAGGCCCCTGCTAGTTCTGCCATAGTTTCTCTTCATATAGAATTATATCTATACAATTATACAATGACATATGCTAAAGTAAATTTCTTGGAAAGTGTTATCTTTTCTGTGACTAAATAGCAATAATAAATTGAAAATTAGAAAAGAAAAGATACTGTGTATATATGTAGGTATGTATGTGCATATATATATATATATATATATATATCTTTACTGTAATCCCAATCAAAATACAATCAGCTTTTTTCACAGAACTAGAAAAAATAATTCTAAAATTTATATGAAACCAGAAGACACTCAGAATAGTCAAAGCAATCCTGGGAAAGAAGAGCATGGTAGGAGGCATCAAAATCCCAGACTTCAAGTTATACTACAAAGCCACAGTCCTAAAAAAAACTGCATGATATTGGCACAAAAACAAACATGTTGGGCCGGGGATTTAGCTCAGTGGTTCTGCCACCTGCCTCACAAGCGCAAAGACGCAAGTTCGATCCCTGGTACCAAACAAACAAAAATACTGACCTATGGAATAGAATAAAGTGGATCCAGAAACAAAAGCACCTGATTTAGGGCCAGGGATTTAGCTCAGTGGTTCCACTACCTGCCTCACAAGCGCACAGTCCTGAGTTCAATCCCCGGTACCCCCCCCCCAAAAAAAGCACCTGATTCAGTTAGCTAATTTTTTTTCCATACCGGGGATCGAACTCAGAGCCTTGTGCTTGTGAGGCAGGCGCGGTCCCACTGCGCTAAATCCCTGGCCCTAGGTCAGCTAATTTTTGACAAAGGGGGTAATAATATACACTGGAGAAAAGAGAGCCACTTTAATAAATGTTGCTGGGAAAACTAACTACCCACATATAGAATAAATCATGATCCATATCTCTCACCCTATACTAAAATCAAATCAAAATGGATCAAAAGACCTATACGTAAGAACAGAGACACTGAATCTACTGAAGAAAAATTTCGTAAAACTCTTGAAGACTTAGGCATAGGCAAAGACTTCCTAACAGAACCTCAACTGCACAAGAAACACAAACAATCAACAAATGAGATTATATTAAATTAAAAAGCTTCTGCACAGCAAAGGAAACAGCCAACAAAGTGAAGAGAAAACCTACAGAATGGGAAAATATTTTTACCAGTTACTCCTCAAAGGACTAATATCTAGAATATATAAAGAACTCACAAATTAGATTGCCAAAAATAGAAGATCTAACCAAAAAATGAGCAATTGAAATGAATAGACACTCCACAGAAGAAATACAAACGGCCAATAAAAACTTGAAAAGAAATTCTAATATATTCAGCCATTATAGAAATGCAAATCAAAACAATACTGAGATTGCATCTTACTCCAGTAAGAGAGGCCACTATCAAGGACTCAAAACACAAATGCTGGCCAGGATATGAGGGGAAAGAAACCCCACTTCACTGCTCATAGGAATGTAAACTAGTTATGACCACTTTGGAAATCAGTATGGAGATTCCTTGAAAAACTAAAACAAATTCCATTTGACCTACCTACCTCTCTCCTGAGGATCTTCCAGAAGACCTAAAGTCATCCTACTACGGCAATACCCGCATACCCATGTTTAGAGCAGCTCAACTCACAACAGCTAAATCATAGCAGTGTGAGTGTGATTTGCCCATCAACACATGACTGGATAAAATGTGGGAAGCTGGGCATGGTGGTGCCTGCCTGGCATTCTTGCCCTCAGGAGGCTGAGGCAGGAGGATAGGCCAAGTTTGAGGCTATATAGTGAGTTCAAGGCCAGCCTTAACTATGTTGCAAACTATGTCTCAAAAAAAAAAAGGGGGGGCCCAGGGATTTAGCTCAGTGGTTCCAACGCCTGCCTTGAAAGCGCAAGGTCCCGAGTTCGATCCCGGTACCAAAAAAACAAAACTTAAAAAATAAAAAAAGAAAATATGACATGTATACAACGGAGTACTACTCAGCCATAAAGGAGAACGCATGAGTCATTTGTAAGAAAATGGATGGCTCTTCAGACCATAATGCTAAATGAAATAAGTAAGTTACAAAGGGTTAAATATTTCATGGCCTCATTAATATGAGAGACTCAAAACACAATTTAAAGAGCAAAATAAAGAGCCATGTTAAGAACAGGAAGGTAGGCTCTGCAGGGATGAGAAGCGGAGGTGGGGAAGAGAGGGGACGGAGGGGAGGAAGGGGAGGGACGGGGGGGGGGTGAGGAAGCCAGAGGGAGTAAAGATGAAGAAGCTATAGGTATATGTGCCACACCCCCAAGCTGAATGCAACCACTATTTACAGCAAACACGCACTAACAACAAAAGTACTGTATTCTAAAATACAAACCGATTTAATAAGAAAAATCCTGGAGATGTTATGAGTCCTAAAAACACACCGATGTGCGAGGAAACCTGACTTTCAGAGAAGCTGTAAAGGAGATTAAAAAAAAAAATCCAAGCGTTCACCTAAGAACATACTTAAAATCTATCCGCTTTTTAATTCTCCAGGAAATGATACCTAATCCCCAACTGAGAGGCCTAGTCTCAGCAGGGACTGACAGCTCCCGGGCGGCCTTCAAGTGGTCCTAGCTGCGGGAGCCCGCGCTGCAGCGATTTGCAGGGGCTGGCCCCGCCTCTGGGTTCGGGTCTGCGACGCAGGGAGCCTCGCTCCGCCGGGAAGAAGCGTTCCCCACCCCACCCCACCCCCGGAACTGGGGACTTAGGACGCTCCTGCGGCCTCCAACCGGGCAGGTCAGCCTCCTACTTAGAACATCGGAAGAGCGTCCGTCCTTCGAGTAAAGTCGAGCCCCTCCCGCGCGGGGGCGTCGCGGCGGCACGGCCTCGGCGCTCCCCTCCCGCCGACCAGCACGCCCGGCCCGACTCACCCTCGCAGCAGCAAGCCGCGCAACTTGAAGGCGGAGAGTGCCCGGCTCCGCAACCGCTCGGGCGCCATGTTCGAGATTTGGCGCCACCGCCGAGGCTCAACCCCCTTCCGGGTGCGGCAAGGTCAGTACCCGCCCCTGGGCCGATTCTCTGTTCTCTGCGGCTGCGCTTGCCCCCTTCACTCCCGCCCTGGAGATAATCCATGTTGTCAAGTGGTTTTTCCCGTCAGGAGCTCGTATCTGCCACAGATCCCTATAGCTTTTTAGTTGAGGACTTCCTCTGCTCTCATGGGCACTTTAACCCCAACTCAGTCAAGCCCAAGTAAGAGTACAGAGGAGAGAGGAACAAATCAAATCATACCCCGAGGGAACAACCAGACACATCCAGAATATGGGACAATCTAAAGGCCAGCTGATTTGATCGCTTTACAAAGTTAGTGTCTTGGAGGGTAAGAGCCAGAAGGACCAATCCAAAGTGTGCTCTAAACTTACCCCCCAGTGAGTGCTGCCTCCTGGTATTCCTGATTGTATGCTCCCTCGCATAACCAACAGGATGTTGTGGACAGGACAGGTAAAACTTACAAGGTCAGGTCATAAAAGACGCGGCCACCACTGCTTTGCTGTCTTGTGGCACTCTATCTTGGGGAAGCAGCCGCCTTCAAGCAGCTCTATGTTAAGAGAAAAGCACTGTATGTTAAGAGATTGAGGCCTCTTGCCGACAGCCACCACCGACCTGCCATTCATGTGCCAGTGTGCGTGAGCAATTTTGGTGGAAGCTTCCAGCCTGGTGAAGTCTGCCTGAATACAACCCCCGCCAGAATCCTGACTGCACCCTTGGGAGAGACCAGAGACTGAACCCCTCATCCAAGCTGTCCCCAAATTCTTGAGTGAGATAATAAACCTTTCTTGTTGTTTTAAGCCACTAAATTTTGGGCTAGTGTGTTACACAGCAATAGATAACTAATATACACCTTTTAAAAGTCTTTAAAAATTTAACAACTAACTTGGGTCCCAGTTCGAAAAGAAATACTATGACAGATATTTGGAATGCAATTTGGGAATCTTGACTATGAATTGGATATCAGATTAAGGAACACATTTTCTTAGTTCCATTATGTAGGTGAAATTCCTTATTTTTAGAAAATGCATGTTAATGTGTAACATTGCCTACCACTCCAATAACTCTGCAAAATGAAACATGGACATAACCTATTCACAAATATATGGCTAGTATAGTGATGTTAGTAATAAGTGTAAGTGGAGGATATATGGGTATTCCTTGAACAAATTTTTCAGTTTTTCTTTATATTTGACAGATTTTATAGTAAGAAATTATACCAAAAAAATGCTCCCAATTTCTCAGCTTCCTATCACAATCTGACAATGATTTCTCCCAAAGATTTTCAACTTCTCCTTTGGCTCCTTCACCTGGCTGGCTCATAAAGTCCCAATGCATCATTGCACAATTAAGTACTAGTGACTTTCAAATCCTTATCCTGTCTCTCTCAGGCTTCAAACCACATATGACCCCACAGGTCAGGACTGTGTTCTGTCCTCCTGCTCCTCCCTCCTGCTCACTAATCCAGTGAAGCACTCCGCTTACCTGCCAAGCAGGGACTCAGCTATTAAACTAGACAGACAGCATCTCTGAGTCCTCCCTCTTCCTCCTTCATAAGCCAAATCAGCTAGCAAATCTCTGTGGTTTCCTTTCTCCCTCCATAGCCAAGACCCTGACTTAGGTCGCCAGCCTCTCTAGGCAGCTATAACTGCCTAAGTAGTTTCCTTTCCTCCTATCTTGCCATCAGAATAAACTCTGTGTGTGTGTGTGTGTGTGTGTGTGTGTGTGTGTGTGTTCCTAGGGCCTTGAACCCAGGGCCTTCACACTGAGCCACATCCCCAGGCCTTTTTTTATTTTGAGGCAGGGTCTTACTGCTGGGCTCAAACTCATAATTGTCCAGTTTACCAGAGTGCTGAGATTACAGACATGCCCCACCATAAACTTCCTAAAACATAATTCTTACTTTGTCATTTCTCACCTTAAAATGCTTCGGAATCTTGCCATATTAGGATAAATAAGTCATCTTTCCCTTTCCTGGTCCTTCTGCCAGGAGTACTTCTCTCCCTCTTCTCCACTTGCCGGAACAACTTTTGCTCATTCTTTAGTTGTTAGACTTTACTTTTTCTCAGGAACCTTCCCTGGCTCCCCAAAATCTGAGTTAAATTTAGGCCCTCCTCTTTAGCCCCAAGGCACCCTGGAGTTTTGCTAGCTTCATACTTACTGCATCTCTGGTCATTGTTTGCTGATCTAGAGCCTCCACTAGGGGCCGGGGATTTAGCTCAGTGGTTTCGCCACCTGGCTGCGCACGCGCAAGTACCTGAGTTCGATCCCGGTACCAAAAAAAAAAAAAAGGCATTAACAGACAAGCAAAAATGTAGAGTACCTAGGGCTGGGGATTTAGCTCAGTGGTTCCGTTCCGCTGCCTGCCTCACAAGCGCAAGGTCCCAAGTTCAATCCCCGGTACCAAAAATAATAATAATGAAAATGTAGAGGGAGGAGAAGGAGGAGGAGGAGATGATCTTAATAGAAAACTCCTTGAACAAAACTGAGAGTCCAAAAGGCTTCACTGAGATACTATTCCTAATATGTTATTTTAGGAAAGCCCCACAAATACTTTGTTGGTAAGGCTATGAGAAACTGTCACTGTCACACGTTGTTGGCGATGATAAAACACCTACAGAGGAAAATTCATCAACATCTGTCAAAACTGCATATGCATTTACCCTCTCACCCTGCAGTCCCCACTTGTAAACCCCACTTCAGACGAATCTGTAAAAGTACAAAGTCACATTCGCTTAAAGTTATTCATCACAGGATTATTTGTGATTACAAAAACCCACAAATAACCCATATGTCCATCAATAAGGACTTGAATAAATGATCACATCCACTCAATGTAGTACTGTACTGTGAAGTTGTCAAAAGGACCGAGGAAGACTGCTACACGGGGATATGGAGGGATACTTTGTTAAATGGAAAAAAATTACAAATCTGTATATATGATTCCTTTTGTGTTCAAAATGGAGGAAATACTATGTCTGTGTTTACTTATATTGTCTAAAAGAAACAACAGAAAGTACGACCAAAGTGCACCAAACGCAAAGGTTTGTGACGCAGCATGAAGAATTCCTGGACCAACAACCGACCCAGACACTAATGAAGCCTTTAGCTACAGCTTCCAGTCTTAATAGGCGGGATGGCTGCACAAGTTCAAGAGGAAGCAACCACAGACCCACAAAGTGGGAAAATAGGAAAACTAACCCATTTCACAAATCAGTGCAGAGAGAGACAGAATCAGAGACAGAGCCAGAGAGCCAGAGAGCTAGCTCTTTAAGAGGCACAGTGATCAAATATAATTGCTACTACGAACCAACTGCAAAAGACATTTTGGGAGAAGCAAGGAATCTGACTATGGATTGACTGCTGAGTGAGGCTGTACTGGAAAACACAATCTCAAGTGTGAAGAAGTCAGCGAGTAACTCTCCTCCGAGGAAGCCAACACCCCTTCCCTATTGCTAAGAACCAAAGAATCCCTCGCAGGCCACGCGTGCTTGGCTTGGCTTCCCAAGCGGGCGCACTTCGGCGCAGACGCACTGGTTCCGCCTTCCCAACAATCTCGACCCTCGACGCGTTCCGTCGGCCAGTGCGGGCCGGAGTCGAGTCTACTCGAGGCCGCTCGGCGGGCAGGGGCTGCGGCGCGCCCAGCAACGGCACGGATGGCGGACTCGCAGCTGTTTTGTGTGGCGGAGGAGCGCAGCGGTCACTGCGCCGTGGTGGACGGAAACTTCCTCTACGTGTGGGGGGGCTACGTGGTAAGGGGAAGAGGCGGGGCGGGGCGGACTAGCGCGGGGAGCCCGCCCAGCCTCTGTGTCCGAGGGAACGGCGAGCGCCGCCCACACAGCTCTCGCGGTGGGCGCGTCCGGGCTTCCCCAGTCCCGCGTCGTGCTCAGCCGTCCGGCAGTTGCTTCTTCGGCTGAAACCTCCACGCCCGGCTTCCGGGTTCTTCCTGCCCCCAGCCCCGCCGTCCTTAAACCCCGAGTTTGTCCAAGACAGTCAGTTCCGCGGTTAATTATCGCCTTAAATCTTGACTTGGACGTGAAAGGAGCTGAGGACGCCGTGATGTATAATTGCGTATTTATTTCCTTTTCCCCAAGGCCCGATGTGAAATAAAATCTCGAAATCACCGAAGCAGTTAAATATTTCTAAGCTGATTTTAGTGACATTTCTTTACTAATGGGTGATTACGGATTTTCTTCCCCCTCGAATTCAAAGTAGAATCACAGTACCAACACTTTACCAGTGAACATTGTGATTTAAAATTCGGAGTACTGTGGAGGTTGGAATGTGTGTGTTTTGTTTCTAGAATCATGGGATTCTAGCAAGAATTATAAATCATGAAAACAATTGAGGGATGCGTGCGAGCCTTCTTAGCAGATTTTTTTTTAAGCCATCTGGAAGCTTTGCTGAAAATAGAACCTACATCTCTCCACATTCTTACATGACAGACGTGTAACATGACAGAATCACACTGAAATAACGTATATACTATGTATGTTTGGGGGTTTTGGGGGGGGGCGGTTTGGTACCGGGGATCGAACTCGGATCCTTGGGCTTGCGCAGCAGGTGCGAAACCACTGAGCTAAATCCCCAGCCCCTATATACTATGTATGTTAATAAGACATGCAAGTTGTTTATTCTTAATATAGTAGTATAGAAAATTAGAACTAATCTTTGAATAACTACTATATCTGGCATATGCTAGGAACTCTCCTGCCCCTAATCTTGTATAGTCCTTATTATAATCCTGTAAAGTATAACCAGTGTCTTCATTTTATAAATAAAGACTGAGCGGATGAGAGTAACTTCAAAGACCATTTGATCTCAAAGGCAGCAGATTCAAGCCTAAGAATATGAGATATCCAAAGACTTTTATTTGTGATAAACTAAGTTAAATGACTGCACTTTAATTTTAATATTTCTAGTATTTGTTTTTGATTAAAAATTGGCTGTCTATGATGGTTATGTGCCCAAAATTTTATTGTTTTTGAGTTCTGCCACTTGTGTGTGTCAAATTTCTTCTACTGTATTGCTTCTTTATGTTGTAAAGGTGAAGGGAAAAAACTTAAAATGATGATCTGTGGATAGCTGTGGCACATGCCTATAACCCCAACCACTGGGGAGGCTGAGGCAGGAGGGCCGCAAGTTTGAGCCCACCCTGAACAACTTAGTGAAACCTTGTCTTGATTTCAAAAAAGGCCCAGGACGTAGCTCATTGGTAGAGTGCTTGCCTAAATACAGGAGGCCCTGGGTTCAATCTTTAGTACTGCAAAATAAAGAAATAAAATGATCTCATAATATATCTGTGTAGATTTACTTTAGATCCATACATGAAATGTCTCATATCAATACAGAATTCTTTTGGGTCCATTAATGAAATGTCTGAGTTTTTACGTCTTACTTTAATTTTGAAAACTGTGTAATTGATAAGATTCCAATCTTCAGATGGCAGTTACTGAATGGAAATACTTCTTTTCTTGCTTCTTATTCATCTAGTCAGTAGAAGGGCTGTAAGAACCATGCTGAAAATGCAGCACAGATTTAAAACTATTACCTTTTGAATTCCAGGGATCATCAGCAGTTAAACCGTGTCTAAGGCCAAGTGGGAGGAAAAGGAAAGTAGGAAGCAAAAGAATACATGATGTATCATGAGAAAAAGTAGACTCCTTCCAACAGTTGTTTCAGTAGAGCCTTCTGAGTAGAGGCTACCTAAAGGCTGCAGAGTCTGGAGATATTCCAATAGTCAGTAGTTAATATTGACCACATGATTTCACCTTACATATTCCAATTAGAATTTTCCTCATTAACACAAGCAGTGTGTGTTAAAATTGGCAAACATGCATCCTAAAACTCACAGATATCTCTAAATTATTTTAGAGATAAGTAATTATCTCATTATTGAAAAGATTTCAGAAAAACAAAGTATCTGAAAACACTACTAATGGTAAGAGAAGTAGTGCTGGGTTAAAAAAAGTAAGTGGTAAATTCTAGTTGGTGCCAGAATATCCTTTTACTTAGTTCTTCTGTATTTTCCATATTGCTGAAATTCATAAAACTTTGGTGCTGCCACCAGGAACATTAAAAGTTGTGAGTAGGGGCCGGGGATGTAGCTCAGTCATTTCGCCGCCTGCCGAACAAGCGCAAGGACCCGAGTTCGATCCCCAGTACCAAAAAAAAAAAATTAAAAGTTTACTTTTCAGCACCACAAACTGAGAAGGCAAATGGCAACTGGGAAAATATTTGCAACAAAAATAACAGACAAAGATCTTATAAAAATATAAAACAATATTCCCATTGAAAAATGAGCAATGGAGATGCAGAATTTATAAAAGAAGTAGATTAATAACCAAAGAAACCCAGCTGAAAACAACAGTGAGGTTTTTTTCTCTAATTTGCAAAGATTTGAAAGAATTTTGGGGAAAAACGTGGAGAAATGATTTACTCATACACTCTTCATGGGGGTACACATTAGCATAGCCTTGTTGGGAAATTTAGCAATGTGTATCAAAAGCCTTATGTTCTCTTTAACCTAACAGTTCTACTTTACATATTCATAAGTCATCACATGGACCATCTATGACATGTGGAAAACGTTATTCTTTTTAAGTTCCAGAATCTGAACCTCCTTTCTCTATTTTTGGTATTTCCCCACCAAGTGACCGTTGTTGGCGCATTTATTTTCGTTGTCTCAGTCAGTACCTCTTACCTACCCCACAGAATGTTAGTTCTACAAAGACTGTTTGTTCCCTTTTGTGTCCCCAGTGTGTAGAACTGGTTATAGTTCATCGTGGATACCTAATAAAAACCTGAATGTGGGCTTGGGATTTAGCTCAGTGGTTCCGCCGCCTGCCTCAAAAGCACAAAGACCCAAGTTAGATCCCTGGTACCAAAAAAACCCTGAATGTCAGGTACTCCCAGCTTCACTTGTAGCTAAGTTGTGGTTAAGACCCTATTGGTTAGATTAATCTGTGCTAGATTTGGATTCACGAATAAACATGTAAAAATCTAGGGCCCGTAGAGGATTCTTACCAAGGCAGTACAGTTTCAGAAGCCCAAGGTCCCTGACGTAAAGGCAGTGCTACAAGCTGCAGTGTGGTGCTCACCATTGACTGGCGCTTTTATATGGCATGATTGCAGACCTTGGGCTTGCTCTCTAATTACTTATGTGGTACTGGGGATTGAACCCAGGGTCTCTGCATCGCACTACATCCCTAGCCCTTTCCATATTTTGAGACATGGTCTCCCCAAATCACTAAATTGCGCAGGCTGGGCTTGAATTTTTCATCTTCCTGCCTCAGCCTTCGAAGCACTGGGATTACAGGCATGCACCACCTCACACAGCTCTATTTTGAATATTCTTGTTAATCACTCTTTTTAAATAGTTTACATATGTATGGCTAAGCAATGTATTATCTGGTTTTAGAATTATAGTATGTTTTCCTGAGTGATTTTTAGGTTTTGTTTTGTCTTTGAGATGGCTCTTGCTATGTTGCCTAGTGTGGTCTCTAACTCCTAGAATCACGTGGTCCTCCCCCAGACCCTCCCTGTGCTGGCACTACAGGTGTATGTCACCAGCCCCAGGTAGTTTTTAGATTTACCTGTTGCTTAATCAGCTGGTACACACTTGTATATGGTACTTGTTATTTTGGGTCCTCTCCAGTTCATCAGAGCCTGTGCTGCCCAACTGTTAAATGCTTTGAAAAATCATCCCTGGATCCATCCATGTTCTGTTGTATGAGTTTACTGAGATTTTTTTATCCATCCATGATTGATGAATATTTCATTGTTCCTGTTTTTTTGCTATTATAAACAATGCTACAGTAAGCTTTCTTATAGAATGCGTCCTATTATACATGTACAGTGGCATGTACACTCTTCAGGGCATAGACTAAGGAATGGAATGCTGGTCACTTGGTGTGTAAACTTACGTGGAGATTTCAGACTGTTGCCACAATATTTTTGTCAACTTATATCCCCACCACCCTCCTTCTTGCTCCACATCTTTGACAACATTTTGATACCATTTGCCCTTAAGTTTTTTGCCAATTCAGTGAGCATGACCTGATATTTTTGTAGTTTTTGTTTTTGTCTCCTAGATTACTGATAAATTGGAGTGCCTTTTCATAACTTTATTGACTATTAGTGTTTTCTCTCCTGTGAAAATGCTAGTATATTGCCTTTTGCTCATTTTTTTCCATGGGTTACTCGTCTTTTTTTTTTTTTGGTACCGGGGATTGAATTCGGGTCCTTGTGCTTGCGAGGCAGGCGGTGGAACCACTGAGCTAAATCCCCAGCCCTTACTTGTCTTTTTTGTGTGTGAATTCTTTAAGTAGATAGTTGTATGAATTGAATATGTCTTTTCAGTTTGAAGTTTATCTTTGCATATTCCTGATAATTTTTTTGTTGAACAGAAGTTACTAATTTTAATGTAATTTCAAACATTTCCTTAATGCTTTGTGTTTTCTGCACCTTGTTTAAGAAATTCTTCTCATGTAGAAGTCATAAAGTGTCTAGTATTGTCTTCTAAACATTTTTTAGTTTTGCCTTCCATGTTTCTGATGTTTTAAAATACAGTTGACTTTTAACTATTTTTATTCTGGCAAGATTGCTCACCTTTGATTAATTCTTTGTAATTATCTGTTGTTTTTATTTTTATAATGTGCAAATAATGACAGTTTGATTTCTTCCATTCTAACCTTTATTCCATATTCCCTTTTCTTTACTGCACTGGTGGACCTGAAGTACAGTGTTAAAT